GGTTATCGACCGTCTAGACGTCCTGTTTTTTTCCTCTTCCTGCCTTTGTCATTTTGATTCCCTCCTTGACTACCCATAGCACCACCATAATGTTGAAAGATGAAGAAAGTGGAATAAATGAAGAAAAAATTATAATAATGACATCCAACAAACCCAGACATTATCACAGAATACACAGCGAAACACACACACACACACACACACACACACACCTGCAACGTGGTTAAAAATACGATGCACGCACAAAAAAGAAACATAAGCAAAACAGCGAAAGGTTGTAGAACTGCAAATGGTTATACCTTTTGCAGTTCGGAATTCCTTCCTGGCCATCTACAACGCCGTCATAACTCTGAAAAACAAAGAAATCGAAATATATACATGAAAGTGATATAATAATGACGTTAAACAAAAATAAAATTATCCCAAAACACAGAACGTAAAAAGAACATGCAGGTAAGGCGGTTAAAAAGTGTAAACTCGCGCGTGCCAGGAAACAAATAAATAAAACAAAAAGCAGCAGAACAGCAGATGTTTCTAGCTTTTGCAGTTTTCAAGTTGCACCCCAGCTACCCACATCATCATCATAACCCTAAAAGACCAAAACAGAAAAAAAAAAATTATAATAGTGACGTCGAACTAAAAAAAAACTGATACGTTAAAAAACAACGTAAAGCACGTAAAAACGGAGCGCATCATATTAAAAAAATTCATACACGCACGTGTAAAAAAAAAAAAAAAAGCAGCAGAAGTGCACAATTTTGTAACTTTTGTGGTTCTCTAGTTCCTCCGTGACTTTCTGCAGCATTCTCATAACACTGAGAGTCAGGAAAAACGAAAGAAATAAAGAAAACTATAAAAAGATGACGCTCGACCAACACAAAATTGTCACAAAAGACACAACGTAAAAAGAAAAACGCGCGCAACATAGTTAAAAATTTGTGCAGTCATAAATAAACAAAAAGAAACGAAAGAAAAAGAAGCCGAAGGTGGCTGAACAGCAAAAACTCAACAAACGCGACTTTTTTTCTGTCTTGCGTTATAAAAGACGGCCCCGCCTCCAGTTATCTTTGTCCAAAGCATTCCTCGTTTTCTCGAAGCTTTTTCCGAAAGGAAGATGTTTTTTCCACTCTTTATCTGAATTTTTGTTTTTGCCCCGGCTGTCTCGTTTATCGTATTACGCGCAGTTCCTTTATCATTTCATCTCAAAGGCCCCGAAATTAAACACGTGGTATTAAAAGTGCCAGCCAGGCACGTCGGCCAGAGTTATGCAAAAATTATGAATGGCTGCAGGTTTGTTTTTTTATTTATTAATAAACCTTGTTTAATTTTTTTAGAGAGTTGGGTTGGGGGGGGGGGGTCTTGTCAAGGTCACGAATTGACCTTGTTTTTGCTTTGTTTGTCTCACTTGAAGCTTCATAACAAACGGCCAAAACGAAGGTCAGACTGTCCGCATTTCTACAGTACTCGGCCGTACATTCCTTAAAAAAAGAATCTTGATTTATTATATTTTAGTTCAATGCCACTCTAGAGTGCTTTGGTAAGAATAGTGGGAAACAACTTATTTATGCGAAACGTAATTTCATAAAAGTATATTCACTGACAACATAACACACACAACGAGTTGTCAATTCCTGAGCTCCTTATTAGCGCCTCGCAGCTAATGAAAGTGCGACATAAGCCGATTATAATTAATTATAGTCGTGATTCATTGTAACTGTGGATATAATACCTCACGATCAGCGTTTTTTTAGGTTGTCATTTAACTATAGCGCCACTAAACGATTAGCGTTTAGGCTTCAATTAAAACGACTCAAAGTCCCATAAAATGTTTTAAATGTGTTAAACAACTATAAAATTAACATGAAAAATTTATTGATTTTTTATATTTCTAACGAACAGCCGACGAGGACCGGTTTCGTATATAAGAAAGAAAAGAAATCGCTAGAAACACGTATGTGTCTTTGGTTCGTTTTTTTTTTTCTTTTTTTTTTGTTTTTTTTTTAGTTTGAAACTTAAATCTTAACGCCGTCGTTTCTGCAACTGCAGAACTTTGTAGGTCTACCTTCAGACGACATGGCAATCCTTCCCTCGTGCTAATATTTTTTTTTCAAGTCCTAACGTGCTTAACAAATTCTGAATATACACAACCAAAAACAAATATAGATTTAGCATACTAAAAGAAATGGTCTTCTTGTTTTAAACTAAACAAAACGGCATATAGACCAACGCGCAATTTGTTGGTGGAAAAAAGATGTTTCGCAACCTAAACTGGGCCTGGGAAGCGCGCGTTTTGTGCCAGAAAGAAATTAAATACTCTAGATTGGCGTGAGATTGCGCAAGTAGTGAAGTTTTAGTGAGAGGGTTTTGAGAGACCAAGTGCTCGCTCAGTGCTTGTAGTTATAGCGGCCGAAATACCAAATGACGCTAATTCCTCTAAGATGAAGCAAAACACCTGAGTTTCTTTGAAGAGAGAACATTAATATGTGGTATTTACCACGAAGTCACTTTCCAAGTACGACAGCGCAAGCCCATTTTTATGAAGCACTCTTAACCATAACTTCTGGGATAATGATACTGTTGAAAAACATAAAATAAGACAAAGTTTTTTTACTCTGGTGGCTTAACCTGTGCATTTCAAACCTGAGTAATAAAAAAGTTTGACCTAAGACATCGTGAAATGAAAGCTCTAATTGCGCTCAGGCTTAATTTCGTACGGAGTGTATTGTCAGTGGAATAGTATTTAAACGTTCGAATTAATTTGAATAACGCAGCTGGGATTTAATTATTAAGAAAGCGTTTTTCACACTTGGCAAAAAGGGGCAACTATTTTTGCCGGTTCTTTAACGAGGGAAAATTTTATAAGCATAATATTTTCCGCCCGGTTTTATTACAGTATTTATTTTCAAATACCTTTTAGATGGTAATCTTTGTTTCCATTAATACATTAATATAAAGTTTTAAGGCGATGTAGCACAGCTTAAAAGTTTAAAGACATTACTCCAGAAGCGAGGCACACTCAGTTGAAGTGAATACTGTGGGGGGTTTAAAGGTTGACTTTTGAACCTCAAGGAAAAAGTGTCTTCTATCCAAGAGTTCTCATTTTGCACTTTACCTATTTCTATTAGGAGTACTACAAATATTAAGTCGTAAATGTTTATATTTATGACTTTTGTATCAATGGATTGTTATATTGTGTACGTTGTTCAATTCTGACTATGTTCGATTGCCTCCAAATTTTTTAGTTTTTCTTCAACGGTGTAGATATATTTATCTGATATGTAGTGACTTGACATTTGTGCACTTTGAAAAAAACAAATTCAATTCCCTGTGTTATCGTACCAATCTCTTAGTGAGTTTTGTAGCATCCATGCTCTTAAAGCAACTTGTCGCACATTCGTATTACTTCGGCTTGATTATAGCTATATACATATATGAAGTTCACAATCCAGCCTAGTTTTTTTTTATAAAAGATTCAAAGGTAAAAAATACCTGTGGACTAATGTAGTAAAACATGTTCTGACTTTTTTTATATAAAAAATTTATTTTGAGTTTGAGAAATTGTGTACCGGTTGCTGCGTTCATTAGAAGTCTAGACCCGCCTGCTACGTGAACGATTTCCTTTCTGTGTAGTTTGCTTGTACCTATGTTCTCTGATTATTTAAATTTGTGTCTGTCAAATACAGCTCACACACAAAGTTAAACAGTATGCAAAAAAATAATTCGCAAAACATATCGATTAGTTTATATAAGTCAACTATTCTGACGGAAAATACATTCACGAATTTTATGTTTTGGTACACACACACACACAAAAAAAGGATAGAGCAAACTAGTGAATTTTTTATAACGTGGAAACCTGACACATATTTCTTGCTCCTCCGCTTTGCGTTTTGACGGTGTTTCCTTTCCTGCTGCTGACACTCATATTAACTGAGTTTAAACACCACCACGTATAGGGACCTCAACGCTTTACACATTACACTTCATGGAAATGGTACCTTGTCTATTAATACTTTACTCTCCGAACAAACTTATTTATGCATCAATACTTTCAGCCTCTGAACGCAGTTGCAGAAAATACGAAAAAATCTCTTTAAGCAAAGCAAATAAATTGCCCCGCTTCGTGAAAGCGACGCTTTAACATAACCCCGATCACGCAAAGCATAATGATTAACTCGTTTTTATATTATTTTTCAAGACGTACAGCACCCGAATTGCACCCGCTGATGCTGGGAATCGCAAGGAACCAGCACAATTGTACTTATAATATGTCATAATTTACAAAACAGTTTGTAATGCTTTTAAATTCCTCTAAGCACTCTAAATCTGAAACCTAAAAACGCATCTTGGTAGTTCGAATATCACTGTCGAGCAAATCCGGAACAAAAAAAGCTGAACGTTATCTTCGCTCTCCACCACAGAAATTTAACATTCTTAACTTAACGACGCAACGGGTCAACACGCTCCTCTATCGGCGCCGTCCACGAAACCAGAATCGCTCATAAACGTCAAAATAGCACATTGTTTTCAGAGCCAGGAAATCCGAAAAGGTCACGCAGCCAAACACCACAGACGTCCACTGTCACTCGTAGAAAAATGCACGCGCGGGCGAATCCAACTTTGGACGAGCCGACTTGAGCCGCCGCACCTTCGGGACCTCCATCCGAAGCAACCGAAGGGAGCAGGACCGCAAGGAGCAGCCGAAAAAACGGTTCGCGCTCCGACCGCGCGGCGGCGCCACCCAGTCCCACGACTTCCTCCGGCGAGCACCGGGCTCGGGCCTCTCGCGCATGCGCCGTGGGGGCTTCCCCCCCGGAGGCCCGCGGGTGAGGCGCGGGGAGGGCGTGGGTACCCAGGATGCAGTAGCGCATGGCGGCCAGCTCGGTGGGGTATAAATACGGGCCGTGCCGGCGGCACCGGCTCGGTGCCAGTGCGCGGTGTGGCGGCCCCACCGCCGCCACGACCCCGCCCTCGGAGGACGTCGTCGCCGGACTGCCGGGATGAATAGCGCGGCGGTCATCGGGCGCCAGCTTCGCCAACAGAACACGGGCCGGGCCGTGCTCGCCGCCGCCGGAGGAGGCGCCGGGGGCCTCTCTGCCGCCTCCGCCGCCGCCCGGGCCCGGGCCCCGTCCCACTGCAACCTGATCCCGACGCAGCCGCAGCAGCAACACCAACAGGGCCCGCACCAACAGCAGGGCCAAGCCCAATCCAACACGGCGGACGCCAAGGAAGAGACCGGCAGCCGCTGGACGCTGCGCTGCGTCTGGGAAGCGTGCAAGGCTCTCTCGGGGGGCATCTTACTCATGGTCGTGGGCACCGCCATGTGCGTGGTGGGATTCTACGCCGAGCACCTGGCCACGTCCCAAGAGCAGCGCCACAACGCCACCGTGGTTGTGGTGGACCGCACCCGCGAGGCCCACCTGCACAACATGTCGTTCGCCGGACCGGCGATCATGGGCCTCGGTGGCATCTTCATCGTGGCCGCGTGCGTGCTCACGTTCGAGGCCAAGGACCGGCCCCACCACCGGGTCGTGCCCGTCGACGAGAGGAAGCCCTCCGCCGCAGAGGTACTCATTCCGGTGCTGGCCAAGACGCCCCACCAAACCAACGGCCACCACCTCACCGTGCCGGGCCTCGCGCCCGCGTCTTCCTCCGTCTGGACCACACACCTCGGCAACGGCGAGCCGGGGCCCTCGGAGCCCCCGAGGTCCCTCGTCCTGCCCTGCTCCACGGGCACCAGGACGTCCCTTTCTTCGACCACCACGTTCCTGCTCAGCCCGCGCTACGAGGAACACTTCTTGCCGTCCCCCGCGGACCTCCAGATCCAGGACCCCGACGGCTGTGACACGCCGGACTCGCTAGTGTCCGTACGACTCGAACTCTACGCTCGATACCCGAGGACGCCCAACCTGTTCGCGTCCGTCGAGAGCGACGGCCTGTCCGATGACTCGGACGAGGACGAGATAATGGCCGCGACGCCCAGCTACGTCACCGGTGGACTCGACGAAGACCAGGTGGTCCCCTTGCTCGGACGTTGTAGTCCACAGGACCTCGTACGCCTTCCCCCAAGGAGAGACGGCCCCAAGAGGTTCCCGCTCTTGAGGCAGTCGGCAGCCGCCGACGGGTGCAGTAGGGGACTTAACGGGAGGGCTTCTGACGAGGTCCCCAGCTAGGATTGACACGGACCCACTTGGTCTTTCGCTCTCTGGCCCCTTCTGGGGAGAAGTGTGCCGTGGCTCGCCCTGGAGCCTGTCTCGGACGGCAGGCGGCGGCCAAGCCACCCTTCTCCGGTCCACGCTGGGATTGCCGCGCCCGTCTCACGTGCCCGGCTGTGACGAGCGAGCACAAGGGCGACAGGCAAGGTGAGACACGCTGGGCTTTTACACAGGCCCTTTCAGATTCGACACATTCGTCCCAAATCGCCGATATACGATTGGGAAAGCTGCAAGAGTTCCTCAGTCTCTTCCATGTGCAAAGCGTTGCAAAACCTAACCGTTGACGAAACCCACATGTCTTTAACAGCAAATAGTAGAGTTGAAAGCTTAAGCAGTCTATAAGATATGAAATTAACCATAGAGTATGTATAAGAACACAGATCCATTTTTCTCCTAATGGCCTCAAACATAAACGCGTAAAATTAGTCAGTTACATTATTGCCGACCATATTGAGCTGTTGCAAAGTAAAGAATTAAAGGAAGTAGAGAAATGACTTAATATAAAATCCTACAAGTTGTCCCATATAACGGTGAATACGCGGAAACACATTTCTAAACAAAGATATGTAAGAAACCCAGGAGAGTAGAATCTGACAGGCAAAAGCAATAACTTGGATGTATGATACCTACTAGTTGGCGTGGTTATTGCGAATATATGCTGGCCTTGCACATCACAAGTACAGCTTAGGTGTGCTACGTGAATAACTCACTAGTGAAAATAGTGACTAAAATATATGATTTATTTTTTCGAAAACGATTGCATCAAGTCCCGCATAAATAATCATAATCATTGGCCAAGATTGAAAAAGGTGTTGAAAATACAACGCAGGGAAGATGTGATTTTCTAAAAAATAAAAAGAATATACTAACCAGGTAAATATAATTTTGCGAAAATAGCCATAGATACTTTGTGCAATGGTATAATAAAAATAACTCTTCAAAGCTTCCAGGGAAATCTCGTTTAACATTGAAATACCTTGGTTTAATACTTGATATTATGAAATTAATGTAAAAATTTGTTTCGATGTTTTTGTTTGTTTTAATTACGGATTAAATTATTAAAACGTTCACTAAACATCCAGCTTTCAATTTGATTGGGCAGTTTTAAATGTCGCTTCTTAGCTCGATGTAGTATCCTTCTGAATTCTCCCAGCTCTTTGTTATAGCAATCGAATCTTGCTGTTAGTGTTTGGGATTCATTTAAAAATTAACCTGGAGAGATTTTTTCTTAACGCAGTACAATAACAAGTTGTTATACTGCCAGTAAACCTTTTCAGGCAACTCCTGACTTTTCAGTACCATACTCTCTCGTAGTAAACTACTGACTAAAATGAAGTAAAATGTGTCTAAATAATTTCAACAATACGTTCTAGTAATGTTTTTTTCTTTTCACGGAACCTTTTATTTCACATAGGTCGGAGCCTTCTGTTAGAGTGATTAGTTAGAAAATATTCATAAAAAAAATAAAGCCCTTATCAGCTTGACTAGAGTACGTTCACTAAAAATGGCAAAAACTCCAGCAACGTATTGGAATGTTTAAGTAAAATCTTAATTGAAAAGTCACCTAAGGGGCACTGCAAGCTTTTAAGCAACGCAGGGCATAAAAGATCGCAGCATTCACCAATTATAACTCCAAGGAACGTACCACAAGCAGTGTAAACATAAGAAGTCATGCCTCGCGTTTTTTTTTTTAAAGCTTTAATGACATAAAATTGAGAAGAAACTGAAAACGAATAAAAAAATCTGGAAAGTTATATACGTGACACGTCCTCGGTTTTGAGAGCACGTGCTCACGAAATCGCTTGGTTTTACTGTAATGTGTAAAGGGAAGAACTTGACTCGTTGAAGACAATCGCCGGACGTCTTCTTACAATCAGCATCTAGATGCCTCATAAATAAACTAATTTAAAGTATGAATAATAGAGAAATTTAAAACATGTGAAGCAACCACATCACATATATTATGCGTAACAAACTGTTAAGAGGCTAAGCAAATGAACAGCAGACGGATATTCTTTTTTCGTTTTTTATTGTCTTGCATTGCACATCGTTTTCAGCTTAAGCGAACCAAGATCCCGCGATACGTCAGTTTTTTTTGTAAGAATTTATTGTTGTTCTTTACGCTCTCTTTTCACTCACGAACATTATCTTAAAACCATAGTTTTAAGACTACGTAAGAAGTCTGTCGTAAAACATTTGACTACTTTGGAGAAATTTTGACTTAGGGATTCCTATCTCTGAACACAATATTTCATGTAAGAAGCAGGCTTAAAAAGTCGTGACGGGAGTAGGGCAATCTGTCGCGTCTATGTCCTACAAAATCCGCAATATTAACTTCCCTCCTAATAGGAAAAAATAGAAAAAATAAAGGCGCTAGATGAATACGAGTGGCTTTAGTCACGCCTTGTGTTATTTAAGCTTTTACGCGTTTATGTTGTTTTAAATGTAGTTTTCCAGGATGTATGCAAAAGGTATGAAGTCAGAAATTTATGGCTCTGTAATGTAGCATATTCTTACTGAGAAACGTTCTTCATTAAAAATCGCTAAAAAGAAAGATAGGTAAACGAAACCTTTGTAGTTATTTTCTAACAGATGCAGTTTGCTCAAACAAAAAAGGCACATAAATTGTTCACACCGAAATTACCCTTAAAAGACTTGCTTTTGCTTTCACACCGCAGTAAAGACTCGTTATCGAAGACGTACTCATATATAATATATAGGGTATGCATGCTTTAATGATATTGTTACTGGACATGAAAGGTACGACTTTTTAAAATTTTCATTATTCAGCTCAAAACGGCCGTAAAACAATGCAAGGTAGATGATTATGTCAAAATATGATCACCAAGGACTTTGCTCGTTATTGTCATGACATCCCGATACCATCCAAAGAAGCTGCCCGCGGTGACATCGAGATAACACACTCATCGAAAAACATAAAGAAAACACGAAAAAAAACGCAAAGCTTGAAACTTCGAAAAGGCTTGAAACTTCGAGAAAACAAAAACACGCATTCTTGCACTATAGACCTGCACCACCGAAAAAAAAAAAAAAGACCCATTTTGAACGTAGTGGTTTCTTTTTTCCTCCAAAAAACTTGTTCGTCGCGAGTTATTATCACGTTTCTTGCTTTGTGATCGGTTGTTCAGCGTTGTTATCGGCCAATGTCGAAATATGATTGGCCAGCGAGCGATAATAAGTTGCAATAAGATGATCGAGGTTCCTCAGTTCCTTAAGCTGTCCTCGACTATAATATATGTTAACGTCGTGCCGAACTCATTCCTTCGTTGTCGGCGAACCCACCTGCTTCATTTGAAGGGCCGCCATTGATGTCCAGGCGCTTAATAACGCGAGAACTCGAGCCACTAGCTCGTTCGGCGGCCTACCAATCGGGAAAACTCATTTGGTGGAATGCAGGACTTCTAACTAATTCACCGAGGTAAGCATCTGGTGAACGTTAATCACCAGTGCGGCCTGGTCTGCTTAACCCGACGGATCGATGAGCGCAGGTATTGAAGGGCCGTCACTAATGCAGTTTTTTTTTTCTTTTTTTTTGGGGGGGGGGGGGGGTAATGACGTGTCACAATTGAGCAACGAAGGTGTCGATTTATTTTATGCTACAATCAACCAATCAGGGAACTAGAATTGTGTATGACGAAGACGCTTGTCGTTTTTGCATGAGTTTGATATCCCCGGCTAAACCAGTCACACACAGAAAAATGGTGCAGGATAACGGCGCATCCATTGTGCATGATTTTTTCACAGCCTGTTGATTGCAGACGCGCAAAAACGTCGAGCGCCGTCGCTATATGATCCTTTGAGGCGTTTGGGGGGGGGGGGGGGGGGGGGACGGCCGACGGGGGCGGCCGTCCCCCCCCCCCCCCAAACGAAGTCAACCCCCCCCCTCCCCCCTTCTCGGAGGGCATTTCGACATGGGTGGACCCGCCGGTGCACAAGAAAGAATAGGAGAAGAGTATCCTCACAAATTTTCCGCACCTAAAAAAAAAACGGATTTCTGGATCCGCCTCCAACAGAGTATGTGCGTCGCCTCGGCGTCTTCGAGTAGCAAATCATCGACCTACGAATGCCCAGGATGGTGGTGGGGGTTCGAACCTCAGACGAGGTGCTCGCAATGTGACGGAGGCTTGCTGCGGATAAGGCGCCATGTAGCCGAAATTTTTGGTTTCACGTCCAACGATCTCAGAGGCAGTCGAAATGAATCCCGAGTTGTCCCCATAGGTGCGCCAGTTGGCCGTCTTTGGTTTGGGGCGCGAAAATCCCCCAAATTTTACTTTAACGGAGTCTAGGCGTTCTTTACTCGACAACGTTTCTAGCGTATAATCTGTGAAATGAAAGCGTAAACTATGCACTGCGTTTTAACTTAACCTTGGAGGCCAGCACATGCTGCGAGGCGATGGGGAAAATTAAACAATTCCGAGAGCGAAATGTCTCAGTTTGCGTCACCTCTCCGGGGTGTGTGATAGAAGTGGATAATGTAAAATGAATGCGCAGTGGCCTTTAGATTGGAGTGTGTTTTCATGTTTAAATGTATTTCTTTTAACCTCATTACAAGAATTTTGTGGTGAGGACACCGGACAAAAAGCTTCAAATAGGAAGCTTGACTAGGTCCGGTGTATAATATCATAATAATTTTTCAGGCCTCCTTTCCGTAGCAGTTTTAACGAAGTGCACATTATTAATATCTACAGTGTTTATTTGTCTCCTAAAATAATTATACACAATTCATTTACAGAATTTCAAAGTCATGTCTCAAATTTTTTATAAAAGTGAAAGGATTTTTTTTTTTATAATATCTTGTGCAAAAGAGTCCTGACACTAACTTCTGCTTGCAAATAAAATCCTACCTATTGCGGGAAAAAAAAACAAAGGATCTAATTTATTCTCCCACCATCGAATAAACACACCGCCCTGAAATTTCGTGCGAGTCAAGAAGGAGAGCATGAACAACAGGGGTAGCAACGTATATGTACGGGGGGGGGGGGGGGGGGGGGGGGGGGGGGGAGTGATAGCTGTACAGGATAGATAAAGGCGCTGAGTGACAAAGAAAGCGTGAGGACAAAATTGAGCCCGAGAAAGTGTCGTGGCCAA